TCAAGAACCCCTGAGCTATTAAAAACAATCATGGCCATAGTGCTCAAGTATTTCAACATTACTGGAAGGCATTTCAGCTGTACTGTTCCTTCATATACTAAATTTTAACCAAATCCATCTTTCCTCCTCACGGTTAACCTGAAGAGAGCTCAGTTTCCCCTTTCCCCATGGAGTGCTTAAATGTGCAGACTGAGGTGTGCAACAGCATTTCCCTCAACATGTTTCTTCTCATTCTAGTTACAAAGTGCTGATGAAAGTCTGAGCTGCTGTCGAGAGTTAGGATAAAACATGGTTATGTTCACTTGCAAGTCAACAAATACAGAGCAAAACTGTATCAACTTAAAAAGATACCACACAAGAAATTTTAAGAAAGCATATTTGCTATCATTTTTGGCAAAGAAAAACGTTTGCTCTTCTGCCAAGCTTCTTGTAACCAAGTAAGGGAAAGAAACTTCTTTAATCCACAAGCTTATGGTATAATGCAAGTCCTAATTTTAATTGCCAGTATTTTACTGTAGAAAGTTATCTGCTAAATACAACAGGCAGACTGGTACCAGAACAAGACATGGCAGTGCACACTGTCACTACATAAACATGAAAAACACTGTGGAATACACTGCAGCATATCTTTGAAGGACAATTTTTAACACTTGGAATCTTGGCCTAAAAAGTTTACCAAAAAGTTATGCAGCTTCCATCACTTTCATTAAATGATATTCAGTTGAAATTCTGTTTTCTCCAGGAATTTCACTTAAAGATGTGAAACCTAGCTACCCAGCTATGCAGCTTCTCAGGTGCTGTTCACTCAGGCTTATTCACACAGTTTATGACCATGACTCTCTGAATGTCCTTGTTCAAACGAGCAATTTCTTACCTTCCCCTCACCCCTATACAATGCTTGAGTTCATCAAGCCATCAGACCTGAAACAAGTGCAAAGCCCAGAACAAGTGAAGTTTTAAGGAGAAATTACAGTTCCCAGTCAGTAACTTGATTATTAATGGAGTATGTCCTCCAAATGAAGACAACACTCACTCTCTAAGGCAGGCAGAGCTCCAAGTTGATATTCAGCATTAAGCCTATTAATATGCACCTTCAGCTACTTTCTTCATTAGTTCTCTTTAAATGCACAGCCACATCTCACCTGTGATCAGAAGATTCAGTTACATCGCACACACCTTCCAGGACAGGACACTCTCTGTACTGAATAAGCTAATTACATAAGGGATTTGACATTAGAAGACACAGAACATTATTAACATGGATGAGATGCCATCCTCCAGCCCTAACGTTAACCACATCTTACAACATCACCTTGTCCAAAAGTACACACCTACCACATATTCCACAAAGGTCTATGATGTTCAGACAGCTTCTCCTCACTACCTCTAGGAGTCAAAGTAAGCAGCTAATCACTACACCAGTATCAAGGACATTTAATTCAAGTCCCTTGATGAGTGGGTGGGATGTAGGTGTGTGTTTCTTTTTCCTTTCTTTAGGGCTGGAGGGAGAGGGGAGAAAGGCAGGCATAGGGGAAGTTCAAGTCCACCAACACCAGTGTTATTATGCATTGTTTCCACCTTTACTTTTCTGGTGCCACAACTCATTTATATTGCTCCTGCTCCTAAAAAAAAAAACAAATCCATGTTTTCAACTTGGAAGATACTACATAAGAACATATTTTTTATTTACCTGTACTTTTGCATCTAAGTAGTCTTGGACTAAGAGCAGAGGTACAGAACAGACTTCAAGCACATAAAATCCCACAGTGCAGAGAGATCACTGCTACACTGAGCCAGCAAGACAAAACATCGCAGGCTCAAAGTAAGGCAAGTAAAACAGAAGACAGACATGGAGAAAGCTGAGGGAGAACAAAACCTGAAAGCAAAGACAGCATAAGACTGCGCCTCATTGTGTTAGGGCCTGAGTTTGTCCAACCTATTTTTCCTAATAGTTTTACCTTTAGGAACCTGAAAATCAATCCAAGTAAAAAATTACTGTTACTACTCTGCATTAATAACAATTGATATTAACCATGTTAAACAGCCAGCCACAAATGCCAAGGAGGTGCACACTGCTGGTATTGAGTCCAATGCCTATCCCAGGACTAAACCGACGTCCCAACGTTTAACACCTCTGTTCTCAAATAACATATGAGCACCAGAAAATAAAGAACATGTTTGTATTCTTTCATTTCCACCTTTACAGAAGTCTAACAACTACCTGCCCTTCTTTACACTAGGGTTACTTATTTGGATGTCATGTAACACAACCAGGGTTGTCAATAGCAAGTTGCTCTGAAAGCAGAATAAACACAAAATACACCTTGCCTTTCAGATCTTAAAAAAACCCTTCTTGTTCAGCAAGTACCAGGGACCTCAGCTTCTACCCTGAACACCAATTGCTCCCTACAACTCAAGGTTCACATTCCAGAAGCTGACTCAGACCCTTCATACCTCTTCAGGTGGTCAGATCTCTGCAGTTCAGCACGTGCACTTTATTGTGGACACCACCACAAACAGACCATTCAGAAAACAGTGAGAAAACGGGATTTCCCCCCGCTCCATGAGCCAGCACTGTACTGCTACACAGTGCACAATCCTCCCAGATTCTTCTCCACATAAACCTTTGTAGGTTTCTTACTTTTTTGGCTTTTTTTTGCCCTTTCTATCACTCAAGAAAATGGAGCTCCTTTATCAGTCATGACCAATGAAAAAGCTATTCAAGGGCAGATTAAGCCAAGTGTGAAAAGGGCCAAGTAACTACCATGTGTCCTTTTGAAACAGGCTTCCTATATGAATCATGAGAAAAGCAGCTTTTTTGGAACAACTGAGGGCAACTATGGCTTCAATGCCATTGCCAGTTCACCTCATTCATCCAGTGCTATATCACCACGATTAACTTTTTTGGTAATATGCCATTTTTCCTCTATCAAAGTCTTCACTTCCAAAGTTGACTATACACTGTTCTTATACGTGGCAGTTTTCTGCCATATCTGTACTGAGTTTGTTCATGAGTCAAGTAAGACTGGCAACAGTCAGTACATTGCAAGACAAGCCTTATTATAGACAGTGAGAGTAAACAGATTGGCTATGTGTGCTCGAACCCTCCTGGCTGCCAGACAGAACTGAAGGAGAATATGACTGCATATTTACACAGTAAGATTCTCCCAACTTGATGGCAGGATTAGGAGAACAATTGCTCCTCAAAACTGGACTTCACGCTAAACCAGCCACTGCTGGTATCAGAAAGCACGCGGAGGAGAAGCCAGTTATCCAGCCCGGTCTCACACGGACTGTACACTTCACAGGTACCTAGAACTCCTTTGTTTATGGAAAACTGCTGAATTCATGCTTTAAAGTTAATCACTTTGTTAAAAAGAGACAACCTACAACAAGCAGCTACATACAAACTTTTTTTTCTATTACGGATCACCAGTGAGAAAGGCTGAGAAGAGTTCTGTTCCTCAAGAATCGCTTCATTTCATTTAGACTGAAAAAATATCAGAAGGAAAAAGAGTTACTGTGACTTTGTTTTGCAGTTACCAACCTCATATCCTAAGCTAAAACTGAGCTATGAAAACACACAGCAAGAAGTTGCTTCATATACTGCCATAAGCCTGTTATTACACTCCATATGGATTAAAATATTCAGAGAAAATTCAAAATAAGTATCACTTCTTCAGAAAAAATATACCTACTGACCCAAAAGTAATCTGTCACCCTACACACAAGAAGAAAAGCGTAAAAAAAAAAATCAGATGTACTTCTCCCTTCGGAGTCAGTACTGCATGGGGCAGTGACAGCTTGATGAAAAGTTTCCACCAGAAGTGTCACAAAGTGCTTCATAGGGAGTGTTACTCATTTGACAGGTAATGAACTGATCATCCAGGATCCCAGAACCATTCAGGGTTCAGTTTTTGGCAACGTATACCACGTTGTACAACTCTGGGCTTTGATTATACTTTGTCACAATAATTTAACCTCAGTGTGACAAAAGACAGACCCTTACTAATCAGTTTATCAGAAAATATAGCAGGGCCTATAAATACAAGATAAACACAAGGCAGTTCTGAGATTCACTTACACTGCAAATTAAGTACAAACACATAGGTTAGTCAAACAATAACCTTCTGACTTAGGCTTCAGCTTCACCACTTCGAAACAAAAGGAATTTAGACAGGTGATGTTTCTGGACTGTGGCAGAGTAAGTAACTGTACTTGACAGAAATGGAAGGACCCACGACATACCTCCACTCACGGCATTAAAGCCGAACGCGTTATATTTCTTCTACACTGCTGCAGAAGGAACAGAGTGTCTTTGTTGTGTACAGCTTTAGGCCTCAAATCTAGGAATTATTTTATAAGAACAAGTTTCCATTACAATTTTTTTGCTGGAATACTTACATTCTGGGTTTGAAGACAAACAGTCAAAATGTAATACAAAACGGAAACTAAAATTAACTTGCGCATGATTCCTGACTGGGAATGGCAGTTCTGATCGTTCATTTACTGGGAAGATGCAAGTTGTTTCCCTAATGGTCACTCTGGCCTGAAGAACTTTTGCAAGACATCAAAAGACTCCATTTTCATAAGCTCTTACTCAACAGGTCGGCACTCCTACTGAAGCAGATCTGCTGTATTAGTAAGTAGTAGTGGCACACTGTGGATGACCTACAATTTTTCTACTAACAGCTAAGACCTGTTTAGGCCTCCACCTGTGGAACCATCTGGAGACTGAAGACTTAGAAGTTGTTAACTCTAGTTTACTATTCACATTATTTTCAGAAAGATCCTAGGAATTAAACCCCCCCCCCCCCAAACACAACAATAGGCTACACCAAACAAAAGCTAAAAATACCTTTCCAGTTAAGATCAAAACCAGTGTATATGCAGAACTGAGTCACTCACAACTGGCTAAATCTTAAAATACAGAAACTATTGCAAGCTAAAAACACATATACTTCCAAAAACTTGAAGTATTATTTACAGAATTTACTCACCAGAACACTGAGTTTAAACTTTTTAGTTCAAATACAATTTGTTAAAATATCATCTGCAAAAAATGAAATACTAATATTTTAATAAACACATTTCACTCCTATCAATATTTATTACATAGGCTACCAAACAATAGAAAGCTATACAGTTAATTTTAAGTACTGCTCCTGTGTCCATTATGAGTATTTTTAAGTAAATAAAGTATATATTAAAAGCTTTTAGCTTAATAAAAATCTTAACACGTCTCAGAAATCAAATACCAAAAAAATCCCAACCCTGTACAATCACAACTCTAGTCCTGGGAGTGGAAGAGAGAATTGGAAAGATGAGACTATAGCAGAAATAAACAGAAGTAATCACAGCAGTGCTTTTAAAGTCTTAAAAAAGTGTATCCACACTGACAGTTCCCCTAAGAAAGGCTTGTAAAATTAAGTGTTTAGAACTCCTCTTCTTTCTCATTATGAGGCATGTACTTCAAATTTATCAGGTGGTAACTACTCCATTCCTCTTTCTGACAGCCTTTAAAGCACCAGGAGGCTCAACACTCATAATACACACAATACATGAACTGTGGAAGTTGCCTTGTTTGAGTAAAGTTTTGTGCTACACTGTTAGAAGCTCTGGATCAATATTATTTCTGCTGAACAAGGCAGGAAGAAAAAAAACAACAAACCTGAACAGGCTCATGGAAATAAATAAAAAAAGTGTTCCAAATTAAAATTATTATTGGATTGCTACACATAATAAAAACACTCCCAAGACAAACTGTACACTCTCTAAAGACGTTCCGAAGTTGCATGCCAGACTTACAGAATAAATTTAGGCCAGTACCAAGCACTCATTTCTTCCCCGTGTGTAAATGCGACACAATCAGGCCTCACATGCAGGCCTCTCTCTCCAACACAGGCAGGACCTTTGTTCGGTACGTCGATGTTTTCCCCCCAAAGCCCTTGACATAACTTTCCATTCTTCCCCCTATTATCGGCCGGTTCACCGTCCAGACTGCGGGGCCGC